GGCTATGTTAATGCCAGTTAGCTATGTTAACACCAGGTGGCTATGTTAACGCCAGTTAGCTATGTTAATGCCAGGTAGCTATGTTAACGCCAGGTGGCTATGTTAATGCCAGGTGGCTATGTTAATGCCAGGTAGCTATGTTAACACCAGGTGGCTATGTTAACGCCAGGTGGCTATGTTAATGCCAGTTAGCTATGTTAACACCAGGTGGTTATGTTAACGCCAGTTAGCTATGTTAACACCAGGTGGTTATGTTAACACCAGTTAGCTATGTTAACACCAGGTGGCTATGTTAACACCAGGTGGTTGTTAACGCCAGTTAGCTATGTTAATACCTGGTGGCAATGTTAACACCAGGTGGTTATGTTAATGCCAGTTAGTTATGTTAACACCATGTAGCTATGTTAACACCAGGTGGCTATGTCAACACCAGGTGGTTATGTTAACACCAGGTGGCTATGTTAACACCAGGTGGTTATGTTAACACCATGTGGTTAAATTAACGCCAGTTAGCTATGTTAACGCCAGGCGGCTATGTTAACACCAGGTAGCTATGTTAACACCAGGTGGTTATGTTAACGCCAGGTGGTTATGTTAACACCAGGTGGCTATGTTAACACCAGGTAGCTATGTTAACACCAGGTGGTTATGTTAACGCCAGGTGGTTATGTTAACACCAGGTGGCTATGTTAACGCCAGGTAGCTATGTTAACACCAGGTGGCTATGTTAACACCAGGTGGCTATGTTAACACCATGTGGTTATGTTAACGCCAGTTAGCTATGTTAACGCCAGGCGGCTATGTTAACACCAGGTAGCTATGTTAACACCAGGTGGTTATGTTAACGCCAGGTGGTTATGTTAACACCAGGTGGCTATGTTAACGCCAGGTAGCTATGTTAACACCATGTGGCTATGTTAACACCAGGTGGCTATGTTAACACCAGGTGGCTATTAATGCCAGGTGGCTATGTTAACACCAGGTGGTTATGTTAACGCCAGTTAGCTATGTTAACACCAGGTGGTTATGTTAACGCCAGTTAGCTATGTTAACACCAGGTAGTTATGTTAACACCAGTTAGCTATGTTAACACCAGGTGGCTATGTTAACACCAGGTGGTTATGTTAACGCCAGGTGGTTATGTTAACACCAGGTGGCTATGTTAACACCAGGTGGTTATGTTAACGCCAGTTAGCTATGTTAACACCAGGTGGCTATGTTAACACCAGGTGGTTATGTTAACGCCAGTTAACTATGTTAACACCAGGTGGTTATGTTAACGCCAGTTAGCTATGTTAACACCAGGTAGTTATGTTAACACCAGTTAGCTATGTTAACACCAGGTGGCTATGTTAACACCAGGTGGTTATGTTAACGCCAGGTGGTTATGTTAACACCAGGTGGCTATGTTAACACCAGGTGGTTATGTTAACGCCAGTTAGCTATGATAACACCATGTGGCTATGTTAACACCAGGTGGCTATGTTAACGCCAGTTAGCTATGTTAACACCAGGTGGTTATGTTAACGCCAGTTAGCTATGTTAACACCAGGTGGCTATGTTAATGCCAGGTAGCTATGCTAATGACAGGTGGCTATGTTAACACCAGGTGGCTATGTTAACACAAGGTGGTTATGTTAACACCAGGTGGTTATGTTAGCGCCAGTTAGCTATGTTAACACCAGGTGGCTATGTTCACACCAGGTGGTTATGTTAATGCCAGTTAGCTATGTTAACACCAGGTCGCTATGTTAATGCCAGGTAGCTATGTTAATGACAGGTGGCTATGTTAACACAAGGTGGTTATGTTAACACCAGGTGGCTATGTTAACACCAGGTGGTTATGTTAACACCAGGTGGTTATGTTAGCGCCAGTTAGCTATGTTAACACCAGGTGGCTATGTTCACACCAGGTGGTTATGTTAATGCC